GGGCTGGGGATTCGAACCCGCCACCTTAGGTGTACGTGGCTGGCGCCTTAGCCGGTTGAGCTATAGGCGCCGAGCCTGAAATAAATTTCAAAAGAAAAAAGCCACAGGCAATCTAAGAAGTGGTCTTTCTTCCAAGGAGTTGATAATTTGAGGAACAAAAACATACACGATTTCCAAAAAGGATTGGAAAAACAATTCAAATGCTAAAGTGTCATAATGTCTCAATACATTCTAATAAATCTGATCAAGAGGCCTGAACTGACCTTTGGCAGACAAGGATTTGAACAGGTAGCTGGCAAAAGAAGAGAAAAGGCAGCCTACAAAAGGGAGGAAAGGATAGTTGAGAGAGGAAAAGAGGACGGAGAACAGCAGTGCTCAGAGTAATCTGGGGTCAAACGGCATTTAAGCGTTGAGAAACTGAATACAATTAAGTGTTGGGAACCAAAGCAAGAGTGGACATTTAGACTCACAAGACAACTTAATTAATTCACTCGTCAATTACAACTGACCACCAGTGTATCCCTAATGCACATTCCTAGACAGAGTTGTTGTCTTCACTTACAAAACCGTACAGCCTCACTTTATCTCAAGTTCTAGTAATAAATTCAAGCCAAAGAAATTGTCATTACTTTTCCTCCCATGAAAGAATAAAAAGTTCTGGTAGGTGAATGAACTGTGGGGTACTCTAGAGCCAGACATTAAGTGAGGTCAAATAATAAGTGAGGCTGAATGAACTTATGATGCTGAATTATGTAACTGCAATTTTCAGTTTAGCTCTCAAAACATTAGGGATCCTTCCCCCCCCACACACACACACCATTTACTGTGAAAATAGGTAACATTGATTTTTCCTAATTTTTTTTAAAAATAAAGTTTTTCTTTTATAGTTTTAGACTTAGATTACTGCAAAGTTATAGAATTCCTACAATCCTACCCCAAAGTTCCTCTATTATTTTCAGCTTACATTTATATGATTTGTCACAATGAACCAATATCCATACATTAATACAATTCTATACTTTATTCAGATTGCCTCAGTTTTTCCCTAAATTCCTTTTTCTGTTCTAGGATCACATCCAGCATACACATTCTATCTTGTGTCCTCTTGGCTTTGACAATTTGTCAGACTTTTTGATGACCCCTGATCCCGATGGTTGAGGAGTACTGGCCAGTACTTTGTAGAATGAGTCTGAATTGTTGTTTGTCTGACATCTCATTATCACCCTGGGATTATGTGTTTTGAGGAGGAAAACCACAAAGGCAAAGTTCCATTCATCACATTGTATCCAGGGTACATGCTATCAGCAAGACTTATCACTGCTGATGTGGACCTTGGTCCCTTGGCAGAGGTGGTGTCCACGGCTTCTCCACTGCAGTTACCCTTCCTCCCCTGCTTTGCATACAGTCCTCTTTGGAAGTCACTACATGCAATCCACGAGTAAGGAGTGGACAGTTATATTCTGCTCTTTTGAGGGTGGAGTTTCCATAAAAATTATTTGGAATTTTTCTGTTTTTTTTTTTCATTAAATCATATCTGTGTACATTAATGCTATCATGGGGTACAGAGTGCTATTGCTATATGCAATTTGAAATACTTCCATCCAACTGGTTAACATCGCTTTCATGTCATTTTCTTAGTTAAGACATTTATATTCTACATTTAGAGATTCACATGTACCCTTATAGGATAAACCATAGGCATAATCCCACCAATCACCCTCCCTCCACCCATCCTCCCCCCTTATTTGGAATTTTTCTGCACAGATTTGTCCATTTATTCAATCATTTCCTTAGAATGGACACAGGGATCTTTTATACTTTGGGTTATAATCCAGTCCAACAGTATTTTGCTGCTCTGATACATTCCCTTTCTTGTAGGTTGCTTTTTAATTGCTTCCTTACTTTCTGGTACTTTAAGATGGTCCAGGCCTATCTTGTCTAGAATCAGTCATTCCTGTAAGGGCCCTCAGTTCCTTTTATTAAATAGGGACAAGGTATTAGAAACCAAGATCTAGGTGTGCTTATTGCTACTGGATAAAATCAACTTGCGATGATCTTATTATAAAAAGGGGAGGAGTGTTAAAACCCAGTTCTTGTTTTGTTTGCCTCAGATGATAGAATTGCTTGGATTATAATCACTGTTTCACGTTCACACAGCTTATCAAAAATATATATTTTAATACCTAGCCATGCAAGTTAACTCTGAAGTGTTTTCAACTAAGGATGTTGAAAGGTTTACACAGTATGTATGTAGCAGCCAGAAAAATAAGTATTCATAAATTATGCCTCCCTTTATATTCCTAATTATATTTTTTAAATGATGCAGGTTTGGGTTCGAAGGGGTTCTTCTAAGAGAGCCTGGGAATGGGTTTTTCATTAACTGCCCTGATCAGACCCTTTCAAATAAGCTAGTTTGGGGAATCTAATGTGCTCATCGTCCTTGCTGTTGTAAAGAAGGCAGGCACAAGAGGAATCTTTTAGGCACTTTTTATTTTCAAAAAAAAAAAAAAATTGTCGTTAATATATAAACATCTCATTCTCTCAAAAAATTCTACAACTATACAGCTGTTTGCTCCATTATTTGCATAGGAAATGACCACAATACAAAAATAAGAGGGAAAAAGAAGCAAAACAGCAACTGATTTATGCTTTTCATGTAGGTTATGTTTCCACGTATAAACATTTTGAAGCCTCTTACAAAATTATTTACACCATTTGTCGTCTATTTACAGGTTGAGAGCAACTTCTCTAACAAACAAAACTATAATTTATCAAGTTATGAAAATTGTCTTCTAAAAAAACTTACTATATTACCACAAAATAAATAAAGATAAACAATATTTTAAAAACAAAATTAAAATTTTCATTTCAATTAAGACCCCTTTTGGCATTTTGCTTATTTATTCTGCCCTTTGGTTATCAGCATCGGCATGACATTACTATTTGATATTGCATATGTGTAGCGCTTCCTTAAGTTTTCAACTTATCATTTATACTTAAAGGCAGACACTGAGTCAGTATTAACAACAGATTAACTAAACTGCACTGTAATTTAGATAAAATTACTGTGTCTCATTGTGTATTACATGCAAAATCCACATAAATTGTCACCTAACCCACAGTACTGCGCGAGCAATTATCTCGATATATGAAAACTGCATCGTGAAGTCAACGTTCCCGTTCAGGAAAACTGCATCGTTGTGAATGCGGCCTTGTGAAAACTACATTGCCAAGTCCTTCTCTTTAAAAATGATACTTGTCTTTAGCTTATTGTTAGAGGTTTCACTTTTGTATATCGTAACTATCTTGAAGCTCTTCAGTTTACAATTCATATAAAATGTCTTTCATATTTAAAATAAACAATCCTATTTTAAATCAGTGCATGAGATTTGCTTTCTTTAAAGTTCATTTGAATGATTAGTATTCCTTAACCCCCCCCCAAAGAAATGAATTTGGTAACGTCAAGAGGTATCTTACCACAAATTCTAACTGTAAATGTATTCATGGTTATTTTCAAAAGAATTATGATTTTTCCCCCAAAAGAATCCTAAAAAACTTGTAATAAACCTACAAAGCTGATTTGCATATTTACAAAATTTTGAATAGCAAATATAGGCAACTCATTTCTTTAAAAAAAAAAAAAAGAAACAAACAAAAACGTATTTGTTCAATGGCTATTTGTGAATTGCCAGGTACACTACGTACCTCTCCAAAGAATTACCAAATATTGAAAAAAGAAAACTACCTGACATCAAGTAAAATCTTGACATACAATCCATCCTCCTCCCGGTGCCTGCCACCCCATCTGTTTACTAAACACTGTCACTTTAAAATGATGGTGCCTCGGTAAAAACACTGCACACACACCCCTCCACCCCCACCCTTCCCCACACTGAGATGTGACTGTCAGGAGATGAGATCTGCTTGAGTAAAGCCATGTACATTACAGCAAGCATTCCAGATTCTTAAAATGACCAAACACTTTGGTATTAATACAATGTATTCCCTGTTTTCTCAAATATACAAAATATACATTTCCGGGGTTTTTTGTGTGTTTGCTTTTTCTTTTTTTTTTTTTTCTTTATATAGGAACAGTAAAGGTGGATGGTTCCGCAGGCTGCGCGGCGGCCTCGCGGGTGGGCGGCGGGCGCGCTCAGTTCTGGTGCCTCTTCATGTGCAGGGCCAGGTGGTCGGAGCGCGAGAAGCTGCGGTTGCACACCCCGCACTGGAACGGCTTGGCGCCCGTGTGCTTCCGGTAGTGGCGGGTCAGCTCGTCCGACCGCGCGAACCTCCAGTCGCAGCCCTCCCAGGTGCACTTGTACGGCTTTTCACCTGTGACAAGGGACACAAGAGGTGAGGGGGCCCGCTCTCCAGGCGAACATCTGAACATCGTGCATGACAGCACCACCGTCGATTAGGAAGGTTTTTGGTATTTCTTTTAAAGCCCATGAATTCCATTATGAACCAAATACATAGGCAAGCCCCCTCTAAGTCACCCGATGAAGTCACTGGGTAAAGCCTCTATACATATAAGGGAAAAAAGTATTAGGTGCGCCTTTGACACAGGACTGAACAACAGCCATTTCAGGCAAATTTTAAGCAAATGCAAAACCCATCAGTGCCCTTATTTTTACACACCTCTAACGCCCACCAAATGACTAAGCTTGGAAGCTTTATCATGATTGGGCAACAGGACTAATGACTTAAGATGGGCAAAGGAGGAAAAACTCCACAGCTGCTGAAATCACCTATACAATGCATTTTGGGTACCGAAACTGCGTTACCAGAATCCGGTGCTAGAGGTTTCTAATTAGCCAGACTGAAGCTCACAGCTCATAAACTCACTCACTTGGACACCCCGCCTCCAAAACAGACTTTCAATATTGGCTCTTTAAAACAATGGTAACAACTGTAACATCTGCTGATGTGTGCACTTAAATTTCTCAAGTGTTATATCAAAATTGATTTCATAAACAATTTGCCAAGCGTCTGCAACAGAAAACAAAAAACGCCCAGCTCATACAGAGTACCGGTGTACTATGTAGGCCTAAAAACGTTCAGTCTGCTATTCCTTCACAGTTCTCTCTACTTAAATAGTGAACTAATAATATGTGACCCCCTCCTGCCCTGTCAGGTGTATTACTCGTGTTCACCAAGGTTTGCTAGCTGCTCGACTTTTAAAATTACTAAATACTTATAATACAATCTTAACTCACTGTTTTGGAATCAATGCCATTTGAGATCATGTATCTTCCTAAATAAATTCCAAAAGTTAATCTCTCAATGAACAGTAACTAGCAGTTTCTGTATTTATGCTTCACTTCGTTATAATCTTCTATGAATTTTAGTGAGTTTTTTAGATGAGCATTTGAGAGATAAATTTACAGATTAAAATGTCAGTTGGCTTACTGCTCAGTTTTATATGGATACCTTTCTTTAGCTCCTAAATTCCCTTTAAAAAATCTTTTCTTCTGACAAGAAAGAACCTCGGAGTGGCTCTGAATGCTTGTTATTTAGTATCGATGAAACTCAACAACCTTTCTGCCTAATTTAGCAGTATCATATTCAGGAAGTTGTAGGATTACCCAACTAAGTCTAGATTTTAAAAGACACTGTCTGCATCAGCAGAGGTTTCTACAGCCTGTGGCTAAGTATGTTTTTGCTGTCCTGATAACCACATGGGATTCTTCAAAAAATCCTATGGGGCAAAGAAGAAAGTGCCGAAATAGACCATATGAAACTCGTGCAAATGATCTCCCATGCTATGTACCTCCAAAAGCCACCCTCTGTCCTCCCTTCTAGCTCTGACCCAAAACACACTTTTTATTAATTCCCTTTTTTTGATTCCTATCAATCCATATAAAAAAATGCACATTTCAGCTCAGCGTCTGTGGCTCAAGTGGCTAAGGCGCCAGCCACATACACCTAAGGTGGTGGGTTTGAATCCAGCCCAGACCCACCCAACAACAGTGATGGCTGCAACCAAAAAATAGCCTGGCATTGTGGCGGGCGCCTGTGGTCCCAGCTACTTGGGAGGCTGAGGCAGGAGACTCGCTTGAGCCCAGGAGTTGGAGGTTGCTGTGAGCTGTGATGCCACAGCACTCTACCCAGGGGGAAAGCTTGAGGCTCTGTCTCAAAAAAAATAAAAAATAAAAAAAATGCACATTTCTATTTTAGCAGTAAATTCTAACTAGAAATTTAACCTAATGCACTCAAATCTTCTAAGCAACATAAAAAACAAATTACTTCTCTCATCACTTATAATTCACATAAAATCTGCTTGATACATAGAAAAAAAAATTTTTTTTTTGTAGTTTTTGGCCAGGTTTGAACCCACCACCTCTGGTATATGGGGTCAGTGCCCTCCCTACTCCTTTGAGCCACAGGCACTGACTGCCCCGTCGAAATATTTTAACACCAGTAGTAAATGTAGCCATCGTGTTTGCAGATATAACTCAAATAGAAAAAAAATAATTTTGCACCAAAGTGTTTGTTTTCATTCCTTGTGAAAAATCAATCACGGAAACATATTGGCTAAAATACTGTCATTTAATGGAAAGATAAAGTTGTTTCGGATGTCTGAGGCAAGGAAAAAAGTTCTTAAAGTGCCCCAATTTTAAAAGAAATCATTCTAGTCTTTTGAATTTAATAACTAAATAGAACGAGAACTGAATTTTCAGAGTTTAAGAAACAAGGGACAGACTCTTCTTGTTCACTATTTTTATTGGCTAAGAAGCAATAAACTGCACCAATATTTTTTAAAGTTTACTTTACTGATTGGTTGAAATACGGTAGCCATTAAAGTTGCTAAAACATTTGGGGTTTTGCTCTCAATTTATGCACATCTATAGATTATTCAGCCAAGAATACTACCAGTGTCTGGAACGTTAGTTACTGAAGCCAAATCTTACTATAAAAGTAAGGACAACTATTCCCCTCTTGGGGAAGTTTCTATGGGATTTGTTCAAGTGTCAACACCGTTGAAGTCTAACATCATAGAGGAAGTTGGTGCCCAATTTCTAGCCAAACAGCAGACTCGAGTCTTTCTTCCTCAGCCAGAAACACTATGCACAGTACTTCTGGGAAACCAAACTGACTTCCTTTAAGTTATATTTCAACAGGATAGAGCTTTCAAAAGTTTAATTGGATTTTTACAGAACCTCTGTCCAATACCACCAATTTAAAATATTTAGTTAAGCTCTTTCAACATCAGCTGTATTTTTAAGTTCTCGTGCCGTTAATGTGAAACTTTCCAAAGGCAAAAAGAAAAAAGTGACAAGCTTGTCCAGCATGGAAAAGAAGCTTCAACTTTATCTCAAGTCAAGCAGGCGTTTTCTCATTCTACTTTAAATTTACAGGAATATTTTGTTAGGAATCCCCCTAATCTTCGGGGAAAAGTTTCACGTTAAACATACATATTATCCATACTGATAAAGTCATAACGTATTTTACAAAAATGTTAAACAGAAATAGCAGCAAAAGGCAAAGAGAAGAGGCACAAACATCCCTGAGTGCACACTCCAGAGACTGGCACTTCTCATTACCTTACTTAATCCACCCAATAACCCCATTAGTTAGAAGCAAACGATGAGCTCCACATTAAGAATGCTGGCCTGCCACTTCTCCTTAATGTCCCACTTAAAGCTTCCATTAGCAAAGACTAATACACTCTGAATGATTTAAAGATCACAGACATATATATTGTTCAAAACCTAGAGATTCTAAGGCTGCTTGTGAAGGTGAATTAAGGAATTGCTTCAGGGATTCACAGAAGGCCTCAAACCCCAGACCATCTGAAGCACAGGGTGCCCCTGGCAGAGGGAGAGCCACCTCCCGGTGGAGACCACCTTCAAGAACTGAGAGGTCCTGACGACACTTCCATGCTGGTATAGGCAATCCCCAGGATCTTACCAAGGATCATGGTTCCTTTCCCACAGACTATGTGAACTTGAGTGGGTTAGCAGAACATGTTGATACAGTATTCAAAAAATCTTCTATCAACTAACTAAAATGTTTTTTCTCTGATGAGCAAGTCAAAAATGACTTTTGATGCTACCACAATGGCATGAGAACATTCTCTGCTCTGCTGAACATACTCAAGAGACTCATATACCAAGACCTTTCCCTAAACTGTTCTACATACATTCTTCTAACAAAAGAAAAAAAAAAATCACAAATGGAAATAGTTCTCTGAGACCATTTTAGGTAACTTTCAAGTTTGTTACAGCACAATTTGCACATCTGTTTCCTTCCTGATGACTATGACAATCCAATCAATATCTGATGAAAATAAAAGCTAAAAACCATCAGTATTAAAGTCAGGTTTTTAAAAGGGTATATATAACCTGTACTAAATGCCCTGCAAAACACAAGACTTGGTTTCTGATGTCAAAGAACTTAAAATCTACACTTGATCTTAGCCAAAAAGCCAAGAATTTAAAATCTATATCCTTTTCTGAAAACTTAAACAATCCAGACCTTTAAATTAGAATAAATTATGTCAATAGTTAGTATTTGTTACAAACTCTTAGAAAGTAAGAGTCCTTGAGCTCAAAATGAGCTCTTCTTTCAAGAGGAAAGTATTTTCATGCAATAACAATTAGGTTTTTCTCCAGCAGTAGAGATTTAAGGAATTTAGAATCTCTGAAATAGGCTCAATATCACATTTGCTTCTACAAATCAGAAGGTAGAAAGTGGGAAACGCTGATTTAAAAAATTTATAGGGCCAGGTACAGTGGCTCACACCTATAATCCTAGCACTCTGGGAGGCCAAGGCGAGTGGACTGCTTCAGCTCAGCTCAAGACCAGGCTGAGCAAAACCTGCTTCAAAAAAACCCATCTCTACTAAAAATAGCAAAACTAGCTGGGCATTGTGGCAGGCACCTGGAAGTTCCTGCTACTCGAAAAGCTGAGGCAAGAGGATCACTTGAGCCCAAGAGTGTGAGGTTGCTGTGAGCTATAACCCCAGGGTACTGCTAGGGCAACAGAATGAGCTG